TCCTCCCACCTATCCCCTCCTCCCACCCCAAGCCCTACCCCTATCTCCTACCTACTAACCTCATCCCGCCTCCTTGACCTGTCCGTCCTCCCTGGGCTAACCTATCTCCTCCCTACCTCCCCACCTACACTCACCTTTACTGGCTCCATCCCTGCCTCTTTGACCTGTCTGGCTCCATCCCCGCCTCTTTGACCTGTCTGTCTCCTCTTCACCTATCTTCTCCTCTATCCATCTTCTATCCACCTCCCCCCTCTCCCTATTTATTTCAGAACCACCCCCCCCACCCCATTTCTGAAGAAGGGTCTAGGCCCGAAACGTCAGCTTTCCTGCTCCTATGATGCTGCTTGGCCTGCTGTGTCCATCCAGCTCTACACCTTGTTATCTAACATGCTGGGGACCCAGGTTTGAATCTCACCACGGCAGATGGTGGAAATTGAATTCAATAAATATCTGGAATTAAGAATCTAATGATTACCGTAAATCCATTGTCAATTGTTGGAAAAAGCCATCTTGTTCACTAATGTCCTTTAGGGAAGGAAACTACCTGGTCTGGCCTACATGTGACTCCAGACCCACAGCAATGTGATTGACTCTTAACTGCCTTATGGGCAATAAATGCTGCCTGGTCAGCAACTCCCTCATCCCATGAATGAATAAAGGAATTGGTGCTGGCCCTGGGCTCAGAATCAAAACGTTTTGGATTCATGTTCCACTACGGAGATTTGAATACAGAATCTGGACTGAACGTATGACTCAGACGGCTACACTGCTATTGTGTACAAGTCTGATGAGGACTGTATCTGTTCTCTAAGCTGTTTGGGTCACTTGCTGTCATTCCTTGGTGTTCAAATCTCTGCTGCCCTGATGCAATCTTGCATCAATTCCCATTCACTCATTATGCCTGACCCAAGTTGGCTCCCATTACAACCAAGTCCCAGATTTCAAATTCTTACTCTTGCGTTCAGCTGAGTTCCTGGCCTTGCGCCTTCCAACCTTTGTAATCTTGTCCAGCCCGACAACTGCTTTCCTCCAGTTTCAATTCTTCAATCCATCTTGTGTATCCCTCACTTCCTTTGTCTCCCCACTGTCCAGCTCCCAGAGCAGGAGGAAGATTCTCTCCTTCAACCTCTTCGGTCCAAATTTTCCCCTTGTCCTTCAAAGTTCCCTAAAACCTACCTACTTGACAAAGCCTTTTGGTCAACTGTCCCAATTCTGGCTGCGTGGGCCAGAGTCATTACTATTTGAGCGCACTGCTGTGGAATGTTCTACAGTCTTAAAGGTGATACAGCAATGGATGTTTTCTACATGCTGAGGTGATAACAACTGGGTATTAACTCGAGCTCTAGGTTCCTTCTCAGTATAACCACAGACTCCCCCCTCCACCTTCACATCCCACTCCCATGGTCCAGACCGTCCACCCTCCTCCTGCCTGTGAGCTGAGCCAGCACTATATCACCTAATTCTCTGACCGATAGGCATTTCCTGTAGACAACCCAAGAATGGGTTATGGGCACTAGTGTGGCTAGCAGCTGTGAGCTATTTTACATATGTGTGTTTGCAGCCCACTCCCCACCAGTCCTGCCCCATAAACCCCATCCAGAAGGCTGTCGCCCCAACTCCTCCATGTAACCACTTGCCGCCTGCCAGACCTGCTCCAAGCACTCATTGCCAAGAGAAACATGGAGTGTTGTCCCATTCTGCAACCATGGCACATGACCCCAGTCCAAGTATTAATCAGTTAACTCCAGAATTTCTTGCACTGTTAATTGGGATTGGAGTGGCTCCCTTAGGCTCCAATGGCTGCAGTCTCTTCTGGGACATCTTAGAGGATGTCATAGAAACACAGGAGCAGGAGGAGGCCATTCTGCCCTTCGAGCCTACCCCCCCCATTCTTCACAATCATGGCTGATCGTCCAACTCAATAGCCTAATCCTGCTTTCTCCCCATAACCTTTGATCCCATTCGCCCCAAATGATATATCTAGTCCCGTCTAATCCTCTCATTAATCAGGAATGTTGCGGCCTAGAATTTCTTAATCCTTCCCTTGTTTTTCTCCAAAACATCTTGCTCATTGACAATACAACCCTGGGCAATGGAGTGAACCAGCAGAGGAGATTCCAGTTGTTTTGAGGAGTTTTGTCACAGTGGGTTTGAGAAGAGCCTCATCATGCCCAAGTTCATTGTAAATCTCAGCAATCTTATAATTTTCTGTTTTTGTTTTCATTCATGAACCAACTCTGTACTAATTTCCACACGTCAGGCAATTCTTTCATCTGTTAAGGCACGGAGATAGATTCTTTATCCCTCGCTTTAATTTTCTCCTCTGCTCTCCTTGAAGTGACTTTTGTTGAAGTACAGATTCCATAGATGCCACACAGCATTCGGTAGCCCACTTAAGTGGCCTGGAAGGTGGCTAAATTAAGATAGGGGTGAGGAAATCCCAACTGAGCCTGATGCTGCATTTATCCAATGGTCAGAGATGCAGTTTCTTTTTTACTGTCTTTTCATTCTTGTCAGAAATCACACGACACCAGGTTATAGTCCAACAGGTTCATTTGAAAACACAAGCTTTCAGAACCTCAGTTCTTCTTCAGATATCAGTGAGAGAGGTAGTATCAGACACAGAATTTATAAATAAAAGATCAAAGGTTCACACCATTGATGAGGATATACTAAACAAACCTAAGACGCTGTTAAATCTTTAATCAATTAGAAGATTTTAATTGATTAATATGTATATGTAAATCCCCAAATTTCTTTCAAGCCATGGTCCTGAGAGAACTAAAGGTTTTATCAGTGGATACTCTGTCTTTAACATCAGACTTAGACTAACAATTGGATCCCTACTGACTACACTGCTGAAGCACTTTGGTATAGCAAGCACTAGATAAACAGGATTTTGCCTACTTGCCATTGGGTTGAAAGTAGTCAATTAAACACAAGTCAAATATGGAGCCTATTTACCTATTTGGTAAAATCCACTGACCACACTGGATGAGAATGGCATGCAATTTGGCAGCACGGTGGCTCAGTGGTTAGCACTGCTGCCTCACAATGCCGGGAACCTGGGTTCGTTTCCATCCTCAGGTGATTGTGTGGAGTTTGCACATTCTCCCTGTGTCTGTGTGGGTTTCCTCCGGGTGCTCCGGTTTCCTCCTGCAATCCAAAGATGTGCAGGGTAGGCGGATTGGCCATGTCGAATGCACGGCTATGAGGATCAGGTGGGGGGCTTAGTGGGTGGGGGTTTGCCCTTCAGAGGGTCGGTGCAGATTCGATGGGCTGAATGGCCTCTTTCCACACTGTAGGGATTCTATGAACTTAAATCCTCTTCCAATTGGACCAGCTGGTTAAGGGTCACCACAGACAATTGGATGTGTTATTTCAGATATTTCAGAAGTGAATACACATCACAAAGTGCTTTAATATCTGTAAAGCACTCTGGGATGTCCCTGCAGTCATGTAAAGTCTAATATAATTGCAGGTCTTTCTCCCTTTGGATAAGCCTGGGCCCCAGCAATGAGTCAACACCTTCAGGATGGGAGTGGAGGGTGAGCCAGAAACCACTGTGTTGTGTCCATTTTTGGAAGGAACAGGCAGTGGCTAACCAAAGAAGCCATCATGGTGAACCTTACCTGTGTGTTGCGCCGGTCACCATCAGCTGACTGGATGGTTCTCTCCAACGTTGCAATCTTTTCGAGCAGCGCTTTGCGCTCGCGCTCATTCCGACGGATTGCTTCCTCCTGCAGCCCAAGTGCAGACTGAGCGCTGGCCAGGCGCCCATCAATGCCCCGCTTACCTAGAAACACAAGATTACCACCCACTGTCAGTGCCATCCTCAACTCTTTCACTGCTCTTGGTATCTGGGCTCAGTGAAGCAGAAGCCTGGGCAGTCAGACCTTGGCCTCGTTCACCTCGCTCTGACTTGAAATAAGGTGCAGGAGTAGGCTATTCAGCCCTTCGAGCCTGCACCACCATTCAGTATGACCATGCAATCTCAGTATCCCATTCCTGCCCCCTCCCCACACCCCTTGACCCCTTTAACTGCAAGGGCCACGTCCAGCTCCCTCTTGAACATATCTAATGGCTTACCCTCGTTCTTAGACTGTTACCCCTGGTTCTGGACTTCCCCCAACTTTCTAGAAAGAACATAGGAACATTAGGATGGCCATTCAGCCCTTTGGGCATGTTTCTGTCTGTATCTTAACTCCATCTACTTCCCTCAGTTCAGGAACACGTTCCTCACAACAATTTATTAATCTCATTTCAAAGTCTCAGGAATGTTTTGGCGTGGAGAGTTTCAGATTTCCACACCCCTTGGTATGGAGAAATGTTTCCTGGAAGTCTGACTGGACAATGGCTTCCCAATACAAGTGTCAGGAATAAGCCATTAGAGAGGCTGGGCACACACAACTCGAGTTTATACTGATTTGGACCATATGGGGTATTTAGAATCAATGAGCATTTTTAATACAATTTCAAGCCTAAGGCAATCCATGTTTGAGATTAGTTTTGGACTGACCTTCCTCGCATTCGGCCAACGATTTCTGCAGCTGCTGTAAGCGAGTGTTGACACTGTCCCGATCAAACTCCATCTCCCTCAGCTGTCTGTTCAAGTTAGAAACCTGAATGTGTGCTTCATCCTGAGTGGGAAAATGACAGAATTACCTGGACAGATGGCATCCTGAGGGAAAGGGGAGACCTAGATAAACAAACGTTGATTGATTTTGAAAATGATGACCCACACTTCGGCAGGATTTACCAGGTACACACATCGAGCTGGTTGTCTTCTGGCAGACCGGTGCTTGGTTCAGTTGTAACTTCAGGTGGCAGCCCTGATGAAGGGAGGTACTGAAAATGGTTTTCCTCGTTGATTTTCAGACACTGGCAAGCCTGTTGTGTTTTTGTAGAGGGAGATTTCTCCTGGTGCCCTGGGACAGTTGCTCGACCTTGATGGCCTAATCCTTCAATGGCCACAAGGCAATGGGCTGGAGCACAGTCTCACACAGTTTACACTCTGTCACTCCTTTCCCAATTTCTGATGAGAAATAAGGCACAGGAGTAGGCTATTCAGCCCTTCGAGCCTGCACCACCATTCAGTATGACCATGCAATCTCAGTATCCCATTCCTACTCCCTCCCCATACCCCTTGATCCCTTTAGCTGCAACAGACACGTCCAGCTCCCTCTTGAACATATCTAACAAACTGGCCCCAACAGCTTCCTATGGGAGAGAATTCCACAGGTTCACAACTCTCTGAGTGAAGAAATTCTTCCTCATCTCAGTCCTGAACGGCTTACCCCTTATTCTTAGACTGTTACCCCTGGACTTCCCCAACATCCTACTTTCACCCTTACCCGGTCCCTCTGCGTGTCTCTCAGTTCCTGAAGGAATTCTCGTAGTGCTGTCCGAACCACTTCTGGGTCAATGTCAGCCACAAGTTGCTCACTGCGGGTCGGGGAGAAGGAGCGTTCGGGTGATACAGAGCGGGACGTGGTGCTACGCTCGGGGGTTCCAGTCTGAGGAACTGTGTTGCCGTGGCCACCGTCCACTGTGGTAGTAAAAGGGCCATCAAAACCTGAAACCACACAATGTACAACAGGTGTCAGTGGGTTGTGCCCTCACCTTTCAGTCAGAAGGTTCTGGGTTTGAGTCCCATTCCAGACACGAGTTCATAGAACTGCAGTCCATTGTTGACGGAGCGCTGCAGTTTTGGGGGGAGCAGTTCGACTGAGTTTTGCCCGTTCAGATGGCTGTCAAAGATGCACTATTTAAAGGAAGAGCAAAAGTGTTTGTTCCCAGCATCCCAGATCCCTTATCCAACATTACAAAATACAGATTAGCTCCTCATGATCACATTGCTGTTTGTGAGAATTTACTGCGCATGTACAGGCTACCACACCTCTTGCAGTCCATTTCCAAAGTACTGCAAAGCTGTTTGAATCATCTTGGGATCGCAAAAGATGACATACGAATGTCAACCCTTTCTTCCTATAAACTAAGATAATGTTCTTTTCTAATAGTTTTCCCTCTTTCTTCAATCCACTACAGAAGCTGTGCATCAGGTTGGGCTGTGATTTGGAACCCCAGCCACCTCTCTGTCCAGATGAGCCCAGATGGTGAATGGTAGTTGGTTACTCACCCACAGGGAATATCACATCCAGATGGATCCTGTCCTTGCCTAATATCCAAGCCTACACGCTCACTGAAAAAGATTATTGCATAGTGACCTAAGAGCACTTTTTCCCCCTCCTGAACCCAGGAACACAAACCTTCTTTCATCACTCTGAGCTGGAATCAACTAACTCAGCATTGAGATTGGAAGTTTTGTGTGATTCAGTGCGAGACTAGAGATCGCTACCCCGAGAACACACCAAAGCATTAATATTCCTGCACGTTTCATCATAGCACAGCAGCATCCATCACAGGAATTGGAGTTCTTCATTTACCAGGCGATCTCAGGGAAAGTTCACTCTGTGCTCTCTCCCCCTTCTCACATTCTATTTAATGTTCTCAAAGTTACAATTTCAAAATGGCTGCAAAAAGAGAACTGTTCCTGAAGCTTTTTGTCTTCCACTGATTAAGACAAATGCAAGAATGCCAAATTCTGAATGATCACTGTAATTTATACTACAGGAGAAAGAGTGGTGACTCGTTGGCAAGTTGACTCTGATTGGCAGAGGAATTGCCACACAGAAAGCAATAGTAAACTGTAGGATCCCCAGGTTCCCAGGTAATTCAAAAAAGACACAAGGCTGGAACATATTCCTTTTGTTTGCAAAGAATGGCTCCTTGCATGTGAATGTATATTGCTTCTAACAACTATAAATGTTACAAGACTGCTTGATTATCTCATAATGGTTGGTTGAATAGCCATAGTGCATTTAGGATTGGTCAGCAAGTGCTTCCAAATCAGAGTGAGTGAATGAGTAGTGAGTGACTGTGTGTGTGAGAGGGAGAGGAAAAGAGTGCGTGTGAGAGGGAGAGTGGCAGTGCGTGTGAAAGGGAGAGAGACAGTGCGTGAGAGGGAGAGAGACAGTGCGTGTGAGAGGGAGAGAGACAGTGCGTGTGAGAGGGAGAGAGAGCGTGCGTGTGAGAGGGAGAGAGAGCG